TCGGTTGTTAGCCAGGTTTGTTTTCTGCCCTTCGCTGGATGACTTATAAGTGTGGGAATCCAAGTCTTCAACCCAGCAAATTTATCTAAAGCTCTAAGTCTTTTCCCTGCTGCGAGTTCGGAAACCTTCTTTAGGTTGATCTCACTGTAGAGACGTGGCAGAGAGACATTTTTACTTGCTCTAAAACACTTCAGTAATGCTACGTTGAGGACTTTTTGCACCGGTTCAGAGTCTTTAGAGTTCATTCCCCATAGTTCACCGCCATAAGTAAGGGCTGGAATAAGTCTTTCCGTATTAAGGTAGTTTTAAGTGCTACCGGCACATCTATTCTGTTAAGAAAGTTAGATATGCCTTGGGATATTCCTATGCCTCTTGCAACATTGTGCGAAACCATCTTGGCTGTATCTAATGTCGGTTCTAGCTTAATGCCCAGGTAAATATAGGATTTGACATTTGGGATAGGCTCATTACCTATCTTAATATCTACCTCTGGTATGGGTGCATTTCTACATGTAGAAACTCCAACACCTGGAAATTCCATTATACCGCATTTGGCGACATTAATAGACATTTCCCATTTACTTGACCAGGACTCTATAGAAGTTACAGCAGCTTTCAGCTCCTGTTGACTTTCGGCGAGGACAACAGCATCATCGGCAAAGAGCAACCCTTTCAGAGGTTCTTGGACCCCTGGTACCTTAATTCCTTTGACCTCATTGAGTATATCATTGATAAACAGGTCAAACAGAATTGGTGAACTTGGGCACCCTTGTCTTACTCCTCGGTTGTAGGGTACGTCTCTAGAGATTTCCCCTCCAACCCTAACACACAACGTTGGATTTTCATAGAACGCTTCTATCATGCGATATAGATGCCCTCCAATCCCTACAGACTTAATCTTCTGCAAGACTGCCTTATGGGGTACTCTATCATACGCCTTTGAGAAGTCTATGAAGACAGCACATGTAGTTGTACCAAGGTTGCTTCGTCTTTTTACAGCTTCAAAGAGAGCGGTTGCTTGCGCAACACATTCTTCTTTTGTTCTGAATCCAGCTTGTTCTCTTAACAGGAGGTTGTTCTTCTCTGCTAAGTCATGTAGTCTGTTTGTAGCTACTTTAGCTATAATCTTGTATAGTATAGATACTACTAAGATACCTCTGTAGTTGTCTATACATGTCAGATCACTATTTTTTGGGACAGGTACAACTATAGCAGATCGCAGAGCCTCCGGTAGATAAGCTTCTTGCCATATAGTGGAAATTACTTTCCATATGGTCTTGGCAAAACCGAGTTCTGGCTTAAAGAGACTACCACAAGTGGCAGCTTTGTACCATTCTCCCGGTATTTTGTCTTTGCCAGATGCTTTATCATTCCCAAGACTGGTGATGACTGTGGCAACCTCACTCCATTGCAGCGGTCGTCGCAACCCTCAAGTTGAGTTGCATCATTAAACTCAGGAAGGATTATTCTCCATTTATCGAAATATCTGGAGTTGCCTGTAGTGTCATGGGCTAGTTTTTCGAAGTGATGTGCCCAAATTTCACCCTTCTGACAGCTTTCGTAGACGAGAGCGTTGTCATCCGGGTTTTGTATGGGTTGGTCTGCGTCAGAGCGTTTTTTGCCTATGATAACGTTCAAATTCTGCCAGAGGTCCTTGATTCTACCGTTTAAAAGGTCATCAGAATCATATAGCAGAGGTCTACTTATTACCCTACTTACGTCTCTTCTACGTTTATTACTGGCTGCATCAGCTAGTTCCTTAGCCTTTTCAGGACCCACATTTAAGTCAGCCTTTACCATACGATGTGCACGGATGGTTTTGAGGGTTCCCTTCCTATAAAAGTGTTTATAGGGTTTAGCTCCTGGAGACTTGACCCGGGCATTAGAAAAAGAACCAATTTCTTCCATAAGTTGTCTGCTTGTTTCAAAGAATGTTTCAACTAGATAGTCACAGTTGAGTTTCTTTTCACTTACAGAATCCCCTATGTCAATTAGTCTCATCTGTGCCTCGGTGAGGAACTTTTCCAACAATTATGTTGGTTAATTAACTCAAAAGAGTTAAGGATCTGACCCTATCAACTGTAGAGTATTCTACAGCGACCTTGGATGGTAATTTCCAAGTAGCCATAACAGGCTTATGGTCAGATAGACAAACTTCACTTTTGACGTTTAAGTTTATGTTCCCTTTTATATCCCTATAGCAAATGTAATCAATTACATTGTTTCGACGGGTTGGTGTAGTAGAGACAATTCTCCTTACATTGTTAAAGTTATCCTTTAACCAGGAGTCCATCAGAGCTGGAGTTTCATTAAAATCACCCATCAGAATTAGAGTGCCTCTAATTTTGCGAATGGAGTTAATTAGCTGCAGCTGGGCTGGTTCTCTCATTGGCAGTCCTTTTGAAGGTATATACACCGAGTACACATACACTTCATAGGGAGCTGCTCCTTCACGTCTCCTTGTGGCTTTAGCGCCTAAGAATCAAGGTGTTGAAACATGTTCCTCGATAGTGAAACCACTATCTCGCTCGCATCAAAGGATTATTCCTCGTACTCCAGACCCTCTTGCGTGGGTTTCTATACATTGGTAGCCAGGGATTTTGGTCCTGGAAGCTTTTGATTTCCTTGTCTCTTGCAAAGCTATAAATATAGGCTTTACTTGATTAAGGAGGTCAAAAGTTTCCCCTTTACTTCCCCAAAGACCTTTGATATTATAACTTAGCACTTTAATACTAGTTAGTTTCTCAGCGGCTACCGTGGGTAGTTGTATTGATGGACCTCTTTCCCTTTTTGGCAGGTCTTGTCTTGAGTAGGACAGTAGAACCCTATCAAGTTTCAACCATTGCTCACAACTTAGTTGGCCATTTTGACGAAGGGGTTGGTAGTCAAACCTGGTGTGACCGTTTGGTTGGCGTACAAGGGTCACGGAGAAGTCATGGTCCTATATGTTGGTGTTCATCTTCAAAAGACAACGAAGTGTTTGCACACTTAGTTCACTAACATTCCAGATTAGGACTTTCTCGCTGGCATTCCACTTGGAATTGTTCCTAGAAACCGCAGTATCAGAATTCTGCGCCTTAGGTGCATTTGCCCGCCTCAGGGGTTCATCCTTTGGCTCA